ATGTAGAGATGAAGACATCGAGCAGGTGGTGCCACCAGTGTTTGACAAATGCACAAGGGTTCTGGATGCGGAAGAGCATTTGGCTGCAAGGGAATTGAACTGGGAAGCTGTATGTGATGTGTCTCAAAAACAGGGAAAGAAAGGAGAGGACAGAGCTGAAGAGTTGCTGTTGAGGTGTGTTGAGAAGAACCCTTTCCTTGGGGAGCCGCATGTGGTGTTGGGTCAGGTGTATTTGACAGAAGCAAGGTTTGAGGAGGCGGAGAGGGAGGCAAAGAGAGGGCTAACCCGGATGCTGGAATGGGGGAGTGCTTGGGACAAGAGGATGACTTGGGAAGGATGGATTGCTTGGGCAAGGGTGCTCCTCATGAAGGCAAAGGACAGAAGCTGGCCACAAACTTCCTGGGGCATCGTCAACTTGGGCCTTGTCAGGTAGGCCGAGGATCCATCGCCATCGCCAAGCTTAACCACGGCATATCTACATTCAATAATTTTTTTTTTTGAATACATCGATATTTTTACACTAAGAGGAAGAGGACTTCGGCTAAATCTATATTCAATAATTAAATAAAAGAATTCCCGCTGCCAGTTTTGGAACTCTTTGTCGGTAGGCGATTTCATGCAAATAGGGAGATTGAGGATCTTGCTCAACAAGGAAGATGGTAGTCCATATAATCAAGCCATTACTTCCAGTAAGGACTAAGGAATACGGATTGCTTTATTACTACTGCACTTTAATTTTATGGTCTAATTCTCTAATGGTTACCCACTTCTTTGAATGTCTGATGTATCATTTCACTCTAAAGCTAGCGCAATTAACGCAACCTGTCTAATCCAGCTGATGTTTCATCATTCACTTTTGATATATATATATAAGGGAACAAAATAAGTTAAAATTGAGGAACGATAGTTTGACAAATTTCTCCGAATGTTCAACCACTTTCTGACTAATATTACAAAATTACACACAAATATACGTACATGACATGCTACTAAAAAACATTTGTCTCAGTACAAATTTTGCAAACGCATTTTCATGACCAAAAATGCTATTCTTGCTTTTATACTATATATGTTGTAAACTTTTCTAATAGAGATGAAACCTACATATGTTAGTGAATTCTACTTTTATTAGAGAGGTAATACAAATATGGTATGAAAATATGGTAAGTGTAGTATAAACAAGCATCACATATGGAACCGATCGGCAAATTTACAATAGTCTTCCTTCCAAATTAGGAAAAGTGAATAATCATGAGCAATCAACAATTAAGCAAGCTCTTGGAGTTAATATAATTAGCTCAATCTGAACCATCCACTCATCCTCTTTTTTTTTTAATATTATCACCATCATCATCATCAGTAGTCAGAACCCTTTTTATTTTTCTAATTAATTTTGATTAATGTTGATTATATTCAAGATTGTCATTTCATACTATTTAATTAAAAGAGATGCAATTGAGTGGTTAATTTCTTTCTCCAGTTTAGTTGGCAATAATTAATTGAGACTTGATACTGAAAGATAACCTGATCGATCAACGTTAATCTTGTAATGCATTCGAGCTTAGACTTGGAAGCGTTACAAAAAAAATAGGGTTCACTCGTCTAAAGTGTTTGGTTAACTCATGCTAGTTTTTTTGCCTCAATAATAATAATAATAATAATTCAAGGCACATACTACTCATGTTTAAAAAGAAAAATAAAGAAAATGTTATAGTAGTATCGTGTTATTGAGTGAGTCTTAAAGATTTAAAAAAGAAAAGAAAAAGAGAACTTGTGTTGTAATTATTAGCCCGTGTGATTGGATTGGACTACATTAAGAAAACTCTTAAGTATTGTCCTTTGCCTTGAGAAGTGACAAGTGATATTCGAAGAGTCCACACCAATTAATTACAATTGGAATGGAAAGACAGGAGGAGAAATGATAAGGCCTTTTGTTTGGCACAAGAAAAGATTGTGGGAGGGACCTGTGGATGGCAACGATAACGAGCATTGCGCCACGAAATACAAGGGAAGGGAAGGGGAGGGGTTAACTTAATTCCCTAATTTTTATTTTATTTTTTAATATAGGGGTTAATTTGTAAAAGTGAAAAAAAAGCTGGTTGATTTGGTTGCGGAATTTGAATCTAGTGCGCTCCAACGTTCAAACTGGAGAAGGATCCTCGTGATCATCAAACGGTCACATTACATGTGAGGAAGCGAGATACAAGTTCCATTTACTCCCCGAGAGCCGACCTCACCTCTTTTCTTTTGTTTTGGTTACTATAAGTAAGAGACGCAGACACTTGAGAGTTTCAGACATGCATTATGTCTCCTCCTCCTCCAAACCAAATTATTACATGCGTATTCTCTCTCTCTCTCTCTCTCGCACACACACACGCACTTTTTGTAATTCCATTTTTTTCGTTATTCATCCTAGCTAGCTATTAAGTATTAATTAATTACATACTTGCTGTCTAAGTGTCTACGGCAAGCAGGGCAAAGTCCCCCTCCTCAAGCTCCTCCACCCTCCTCTCCTGCTGCTACTGCCTGCTTTCCAGCTTTCACTTATTCTCACTTTCTCCTTTTAAATATATTTATCATTGTTCACATTTTTTATGCTCTGACTTAGACCTCCTCCTCCTCCTCCCCCCAAAATGAGAATGCCGGTCCTCCTCCTCCTCCTCCTCACATGGAGATGGCGATGGAGATGGGTTCGTATTTCCAATTCCAACCTATCATTGCTCATGTTTTTATCAATCCTGCTGTGTTCTACATCCTCAGTGTCGTCGTCATCTCCGGCTGTTTGCTCAGAAGCAGATAGAGCCTCCCTTCTCAGCTTCAAATCCAGAATTTTCAAGGACACAACACAAATGCTGTCTTCGTGGACGGGCAGAGACTGCTGCGCCGGAGGCTGGGAAGGTGTTGAGTGCAACCCAGGTGGTAGGGTTACTGTCTTGCAGTTGCAGCGCCCAGCTTCCGGACCTGATTACATGAAGGGGTCTCTCGCCCCTTCTCTTGCCAACTTGAATTTCTTGGAGGTACTCGTTATCAGTGGGCTGAAACTAATTACAGGTCCAATTCCTCAGACCTTCTCCAATCTCATCCACCTCACCCAACTCGCCCTCGAAGACAACTCCCTCTCTGGCCCCATTCCTTCCGGTCTAGGCCGTTTGTCCTCCCTCCAGAGCCTCTCCCTCAGCGGCAACCGTTTCAGCGGCCACATTCCCCCAAGCCTAGGCCATCTTCTCCATCTTCTCCAACTAGGTTTAGCAAGAAACTCCCTCACAGGTCCTATCCCACCCACCTTTCTAAATTTCCATGCTCTGCAGTACCTTGATTTGAGCTTCAATGCCTTGTCCGGCCCCATTCCAGATTTCGTAGGTCGCCAGCTGCAAAACCTTACTTACATTGATCTCTCCAATAACCAGTTATCTGGTCAGATGCCCATTTCCCTCTTCAGCTTGTCCAAGCTTTTGGACCTGTCCTTGAACCACAACCAACTGACTGGCATCATCCCTGTTCAGGTTGCCGGACTCAAATCTCTCACCACTCTTTCGTTGAGCGCCAATCGACTTACAGGACGTATTCCGGTATCCATTTCAAGATTAAACAACCTTTGGTACCTCAATTTATCCAGGAACGGGTTTTCAGATGCTTTGCCTCAGACCCTTGCCAGGGGCATTCCTTCTCTCTTGTCCATAGATTTGTCTTACAACAATCTCGGTTTAGACAGCGTTCCATATTGGATCAGAAGTAGACAACTCAGAGATGTTCATCTTGCTGGCTGTCAATTGAGAGGATCCCTCCCAACATTTACAATGCCTGATTCCTTGACCTCTATTGACCTCTCTCACAATCATTTTACCGGTGGAATCTCAGAGCTCCTCACCAACGTGACAAGCTTGCAGAGCCTCAATCTCTCCAACAACCAATTGAAGTCGAATCTTTCAGAAATCAAATTGCCTGACGCAATTTCTTCCGTTGATGTGCACTCAAACCAGCTCGTGGGATCTCTCTCAAGAATCTTAAACGATAGGACAAGCAGTTTTTTGGAGTTTTTGGATGTCTCCCATAACCAAATTTCAGGTGAAATTCCAGAGTTTAAGGCAGGCTTGAGGCTCAAAGTGCTCCACATGGGAGGCAACAAGATTTCCGGTCACATCCCCAATTCAGTTTCAAACCTGACTCAACTTGAAAGGTTTGATGTATCAAGGAACCAGATGACAGGCACCATCCCTACAAGTTTGGGGTTGCTGGTGAAACTGAAATGGCTCGACGTGTCCGTCAATGGGCTCACAGGAAGGATTCCAAATAGCCTATTGGGGATTGAAGGGCTCAGACACGCAAGCTTCAGGGCAAACAGGTTATGCGGAGAGATCCCACAAGGGAGACCATTCAACATTTTCCCTGCAGCTGCTTACGTGCACAATTTGTGCTTATGTGGCAAGCCAATGCCACCTTGCAGGGGCAGGGGAAAGAAACAAGAAGCAAATATGATGAGCCAGTAAGAGGCTGACTCAGACTTGAGAAAACATGAGCATTTTCATTGATATTACATGTAATATACAAAACAGCACGTAGGACAATCTCCTGGAAGAGCCAAGATCCATCCAAGATCCATAAAAGATAGTAACTTATTATCTATTTATCATATTCACTTTTAACTTAAGAAGCCTCATCTATTTACATACCTAGAATAGAAAATGTACGTTCTTTCCTATGTCAAGCTTATGCTTACACATTCAAATTACAGAGAATCATTTGCTTCAGAAAGTGCCTCACAACGGAAACAAGAATTGAGACCACCAAGATTGCAGAATAAGAAGTGGAATGAATCAAATGATGACAACCGACTTATTTTCAATGCACTTTGTAATTTGAAATGATACTGCAAGTAAGCACTAGGCAATTCATGTTTCAACATACGCCAACCAATTATAACACAAAAACACAAATGGAATTGAAATGCTCAACTACTAGATTTGCATTCACAAGTCCACCAAGAAAAAAGGATGCTCGTGAATCAATGAAGAACGATATATATTATAACTAGTTTCAGGAAAGCCGTAGATAGCTCAGATACAACCAGCCTCAGAATTTACAAGAATCTAGAAACATGCATCAGACTCATTCCCTCCAAACAGAGAGGAACATACAACTTTCTATGAAAAGGTTTGTCAAACTAGACTAAAACTAGTACGCTAGTACTACTCCTCATCACCATCAGATATTTCTTCCTTCCCTTCCTTCTCTGAAACTTCTTTCTCCAAAACCCCTTCAGCTGTTCCACCCTGAATTACCACAAAGAAAAACCAATATTTAGCAAGAGCTAAAATAACAACAATAATAATAACACATTCGACAACTACAATGAATAAGTCTTACATCGCCATCTCCTGCAATGCCACTCTCCAGTGCTCTTTTGTACTCTTGTTTAAGCTCAGCAGCTTTATCCACATAGGGCTTCTTCTCCTGAACACATTTTACATCAGACACAAGAAGAAAATAGGATCAGACAGAGTCTAATTACCATTTCCTGTCCACAGGATTAGATTGAAGGTCACGACCAAAACCATAAAGAAGAAAAGACAAATGAATGCAAATACAAACCTCATCAGTCATAGACTTCCACTTCTCACCACCCTCCCTTGTAACCTGAAATTCCATTTTAAAGCTACGGCATTCGAGGTTGCACAAACTCATCAAATCATAGCATATTATACAATAATGGAGTGCTGAAGTTGATAACACTATAGACCGTCTTAACACCTTTGGAATCAGGATTAGCTTCCTTGTAGGATTTCCTGAAATCATCCCTGCAACATACAAAATCCCCAATTGACCTCAAACAGCATCTCACACAAAACGGACATCATTCAAATACGCAGCAGATACAGCAGTTTTACATCATTGATAACAGGTCAGAGAAACAGAAACAACAGGTGAGAGGAGAGATACAGGAAGAGGAAGAAGGCAGTGAGAGGGCGCTTGGGTGCATTTGGATCTTTGTCCTTCTTGGCTCTCTTTGACATCTTTGGATGTGATGTGGCGGTAGTGGATCTCTTTCTGCAAATATAAAAAATTGAAAGAAAGATGTGATACATAAATCTCACAACAGAGTGACAAGTGCAACGGAAGAGGAGAATGAGAAGTAATTACCTCTCAGTCTCAGTGGGAGGCTTCTTTTTCAATTCAGGGGGCCTTTCCACAACTTGAGCCTCTGGAAATTCATCCCATTTCCCAATTCCCAATTCCCAAACAAAGGAAAATCAGATATGCTACTCTCATTTCTCAAAATAAGTAGAATAGAAATTACACAAGATAAGCAAGGCAAAAAAAGAAAAAAAAAGCAGCAACCAATTACGCACTGAGATTGAGCTTGATTTTGGCATCGAGGCTACAGCTGTGCATGGTGATGAGTGCCACTGGCACGTCCTTGTTGCACTCATCGCTGCAATTTATCACGCACATTTAACTCAATTATTCAACACAAACACTACACATCTATTCGACTAATGGATAGACCCTAAATCCAGAAGAATTTAACAAAGGAAAAAAGAAAAAACAGAAGGATGGGGAGGGGTTCAGGGTAGCAAACCATCGGGCAAAGGCACTGCCATCCTTGACGCGAACGAGAGAAGGTGGTGGTGCTGTTGACATTGACAAGGAGTTCTCCTCAGTCTCAGTGGCCTCCACTCTCTTCCTTGCCTTGGTCGGGTTCGATTTCATTGACCCTCCTCCCATTTCTCTCTTCTTTTTATTTTTCTTCTTCTATGAAAATAAAATGAAATTATGAAAGGAACTGAGCGGAACGAATACTAATATATATTCATATAAAAATGTTTGAGTTTGAACTTTGATGAAAATACGAGGGAAAATTTTAGAATCCCCGCCCGCCAGATTTCGTTATCATCCATGTTTGTTCCCTGTAACTTTCCCCAATTTTTGACGGTCTAGATTTAACGCCTCTTGTGCCTTCTTTTTTTGGTCGAGTCTCTTGTGCTTTCTGATATGTATGTACATCAGTACATGTACCCCCGTGTTCTCAGCTTCATTAGTGGTTTCTTTATTCAGCCCATTCTCTTTTTATATTGGGCTCACAGTTTGGCCCGCAGTTAAGCCCGACCGGAGCTCGACCATCCTCCCAAATGGCAGGATCGGAGTCCAAGCAAGCTGGCCTGGGCCTTTCGATTGAAACCAAGACCTGGCCCAATTCTGAGGCTTATCCGACCGTGTGGACAGTTTCGTGTTAGTTGTGTTGTGACTCAATGTATTTCCTTGTTCCAAGGAAGGAACCAAGCAAACATGGTTGTACTTGTCCACTCTCCATCCAACCGTCTCTCGTACTCGTACAAGAAGAAGTGAGATGAAAGAAGAAAGAAGGTGGCATTGCATGATAATTACTCCAAATTCCAGAGCACAAGAAATGCCCCACTTATTATCCTCAGAGAAATGCTAGTAAGACTTACTTTAAAAACGAGTCTGACAAAAACTTCTCCTTCCACGTGTTTTCAGTTGTTCAACTAAATTTTTGTTACTAAAAATTATTAATCGAATACCATGACCCCTTTGTCCTTGTAAAATTAATTAAACAAATTGAGATGTTACAAGAATACAAAGCTAATTATCCTCCACAGTAAATGAATTTGCAAATGTGTTGAAGTGAAGATTCCTCCTTTTTTATATTAGTTAAATTTATTAATTTCCTACTTTTATTTTAATTTACATTTTAATTTTGGGGTTGAGACTCTCCTAGTTCTAATTCAAGATCTCTTCCATTGTCCGTTGTTCTAGACGCAACACTACTCTCTCTGTCTCCGCCTATCGTATTCTCCCCTCGCCTGCGCTGCAAACCCTATAAACGAGTGTATGACAAGTGCAGTGACAATCGGCCATTGTAGCTTTTGAAGGTACGATTTCTCCTTTTAATGAGTAAAGTTTTGAACTTGATGACGAATTGACCCACTGGAGCTGCCACCCACTGCATGTTCCATCTTTGCAATTCGTCCTTTTCTTCTGGGTTTAACTTAAATATTCTTGTTGGCTACCTTTCGTCTCTTCCAAATTTGTTCCAGTCGTTCAAATTTTCAAAGGTTTCTATGGAGATTTTTATTTATTTTTTATAATTTGGTAGGATGTTATGAGAATTTTGTAAGCAAAATCCTATTTGGAGACGACAGGGTCAAGTTAATCAGGTCTTTGCGAATTGTGATGATACGATTCCAAAGTTTTGTGCTTTTGAGGTTAGATTTACTAGCAACATCAAGTTTCAATAGAAAAGCTTTATCCTTTTGGTTTAGGTTTACTATTAACATCAGGGTTCCCTAGCTAGCGAGCAGTCTACCACCTCTTTTGCTGAGTTCCTGCTTGGAAACTTCACCCCGAGATAATGCTGAAAAATTTACTTAAATTTTATGATGATCAATCAAATGATCAGTTAAACTCGATGATTATCAAGGGTCAATCAAATTACTCATGTCGACTGCCTAAGTCCTAGCACATATACCTTGGTATACGTTATACCCATATGAAGTCAAGCGATAAATTCTTTTTCACTGGCTTGCATTGTTCGGTGAAATCTTTTTCATCCTTAATCAGAAAAATCAACCTACTTTTGTTATATGCTTTTGTTTTGTACTGTAGTTATTGTATATATAAAATGTATTTCAATTCCCAGAAAAGTTTATGAACCTTCCTTTTTGCCTCTTTTTTTTTGTGCACTTCAAAATAATCTGCTCAACTTATAAATCTTGTGTTTTTTGAAGAAGGGGGGATGCCCTTTCCTTAGATGTTTGGTCATGCGGATCATCTTTATGATTTCTTTGATTCAACTTGGAGGCATTGCTCTTTTTTAAGTGGATGGATTGGCAGTTTAATCTCAAAATACTGCACAGACGTGGTGAGTCACTTTTAAATTTTAGTAAAACCTGTTGCTCCTCTGTTTATATTGCTGCACCAAGAGATATTAAAAATACTTCACAATTTCAGATTTGGTTACCTGCAAGGAATTCACTTTCTAAGTTGGCTGAAGAAAGGGAAACTCAATTTTCAACCTCCATGGCTCAAAGGGAATTTATAGATATTAGTTCATCGGATAGTGAATTAGAGATAGAAGAAAGGGAATATGGCAACAGCAGAGTTCTTCCAAGCTCGCTATCTGGACCTGGCTCAAATCCAAGGAGTAGAGGTTAGATTGGGTTTTGTATTTTAATGGCCTCCCTATGTTTAGAATAAGTTGTAGGTACCATTAATTACATGACAATCGGTGAAATTTGCAGATTATTTTGGGCAGTCTAGAAACGTGCCTTCTCCTAGAAGAGCATATGCTTCTAATGGCAACTCTCCTAATATTAATCAGCACACACAGGTGAAACAGAATTTTAATCCCAGTTCAAGTGATGATATAAGAACCTCAAATCGACATGCTGCTCGAGCACATAATGGTTATGCAGAACGGCCTCAAAGTAATCATTCACAAATTTATAATATTTCTGTTAAGGACTATGAAGCTCATAAGAGGACCCTTCCGCCGTCTATGCAGCTATCGGCACCAAGTACTTATGCAACTAATGGCAAGGGCCTTATGAGAGACTATTCAAGTAGGGGCTATGACAATGAATTTAATAGGTCTGAGAGCAGTGGGAGTAGGGGCCAGCCTCCCTCTTTCATGCATGGAAAGTCATTTTCCACTTCACAGTTTGCTAGTTCAAGTGACCCTGCATACCATGGTGGGACAGGTGACGATAGGGTGGCTGGCAGTGATGAGAGACTGATATATCAAGCAGCATTAGAGGTATTTCCGTACCATTTCTGACATTGTTCCATTGCTATTATTGGTGCAGTATGCAATTTAGTCTTGATTTCTTTGTGAGGTTCAGTAAAAGAAAAATTATCAGGGATTGAACATTTGTGAAGAAACCTTAACACGATCAGAAACCCAAAAGGGGCCAAAACCATGTATTGTGCAAAATGAATTTTGTTCAGTAGTCTTTTGGTAAGAAAGAATTAATTTCAAGGTACGAATCTTTGGGGCCAAAACCAGTTTGAAAGGGAACAAGTATGTCCCTTTCTCATGTTGTGCTAGTAATAAAAAATATCTATCGTCATCTTTCCTTCCATGTTGTCGTAATTATACAGAGAGATGGTGGGTTTATGCTATTTCTTAAAGTTGTTGAGGAATTTATGGGTAAGACAGATCTCATTAATTGCGATTGTACCAGGGTGTAGCAATTAAAATCTTAACAGGATTGGTCCTAGATATTGTTGTCTTAGTTGCAATCTTGCAGAACAAGGAATCCTCGTTAAAGGAAGTTTGGTTCTTGCAGGATCTCAATCAACCAAAAGTTGAAGCTACTTTACCTGATGGTCTTCTGTCTGTCCCTCTTCTACGACATCAGGTTTTTCTCTCTTTTTATAATTATTGCTTTCATCATTCTCTTGAATTCATCATTTTCATGAACTCAAGTTAAGTTTATGCCCATAGAAAATTGCTCTGGCATGGATGCTTCAAAAGGAAACTAGAAGTCTGCATTGTCTAGGTGGAATCTTAGCAGATGATCAGGTTATTCAATAACTTCTGACCTCAAAATCTAAGCTTAATGTACATATTTATGCGCTACTTGTATTCATAATGCTTTTATCTTACAGGGCCTTGGTAAGACCATTTCAATGATTTCCCTTATACAAATGCAGAAGTATTTGGATTCAAAATCAAAATCTAGAGAGTTAGGCAATCAGAAAACTGAAGCTTTAAATTTGGATGACGATGAGGACAATCCCAACGGTGGTTTGGATAAATTGAATAAAACTGAGCAACCTGATCATCTTCGATCAATTCCAGAAGTTAGTACATCTTCACGGTCAATCAGAAAGCAGAGGCCAGCAGCGGGTACATTGGTTGTGTGTCCAGCAAGTGTTCTTCGACAGTGGGCTAGGGAGCTGGATGAAAAGGTTGCAGAGGAAGCAAAGCTGCGTGTCCTTATTTATCATGGAGGCAGCCGGACGAAGAATCCTGAAGAACTGGCTAGCTATGACGTGATTCTCACAACATATGCTATTGTAACCAATGAAGTCCCAAAACAACCTTTAGTTGATGACGATGAACCTGATGAGAAAAATGGGGAAACTTATGGAGTACATTCCGATTTTTCAAGTGATAAGAAGAGAAAAAAGGCTTCGGTTGTTAATAAGAAGAGAAAGAGGGGCAAAAAAGGAATTGACAGTTCATCTATTGATTGCGGTTCTGGTGCACTTGCAAAAGTGGGTTGGTTTAGGGTGATACTAGATGAAGCTCAGACGATTAAGAATCACAGAACTCAAGTGGCTAGAGCGTGTTGTAGCCTTCGAGCAAAAAGAAGGTGGTGTTTGTCTGGTACTCCTATACAAAATACAATTGATGATTTATACAGTTACTTTAGATTTCTTAGATATGACCCCTATGCTGTATATAAGTCATTTTACAGTACCATTAAGGTTCCAATATCGAGAAATTCGATCCAAGGATATAAGAAGCTCCAGGCAGTTCTGAGGGCTATAATGTTGCGCCGAACAAAAGGTGAATATACTGTTCAGGTTATTTGATTTGCTTGATAGTTGGTGGATGTTTATATTTGTGCACTTTTACTAATCCATCAAGTTGGATGTCTTACACATGAGGCTTTGCTTTCTCATATTGAACTAGGCAACCACTTTCTGTGAGTTTCAGAATTCCATATTGAGAAAGGGGATATTTTCTGGCTGAGAAATATTGGCAAAAATAGTATGGTCTTAAGCCATGCTTTGTAATTTGGACTTGCTTAAAACATCTTTTGTTTCATTATTCAGTTGTTTCAGTTGTGTGCCCAATTACGTTATGGTATTTTGTTGTTTATTTTTTTATGAAAATATTCTTAACTAGTTCTG